GAGATAACCAATATACACTCATGGACAAAACTTAAGGAAGTTGTACCTTTCAGCATGTATATCGGGATTCAGACAATAACTCTGAAAGATATTACAGTGACCTTTATTGAAGACACACGAGATAACCAATATGCACTCATGGACAAAACTTAAGGAAGTTGTACCTTTCAGCATGTATATCGGGATTCAGACAATAACTCTGAAAGATATTACAGTGACCTTTATCGAAGACACACGAGATAACCAATATACACTCATGGACAAAACTTAAGGAAGTTGTAACTTTCGGCATGTATATCGGGATTCAGACAATAACTCTGAAAGATATTACAATGACCTTTATTGAAGACACACGAGATAACCAATATACACTCATGGACAAAACTTAAGGAAGTTGTACCTTTCAGCATGTATATTGGGATTCAGACAATAACTCTGAAAGATATTATAGTGACCTTTATTGAAGACGCACGAGATAACCAACATACACTCATGGACAAAACTTAAGGAAGTTGTAACTTTCGGCATGTATATCGGGATTCAGACAATAACTCTGAAAGATATTACAATGACCTTTATTGAAGACACACGAGATAACCAATATACACTCATGGACAAAACTTAAGGAAGTTGTACCTTTCAGCATGTATATTGGGATTGAGACAATAACTCTGAAAGATATTACAGTGACCTTTATCGAAGACACACGAGATAACCAATATACACTCATGGACAAAACTTAAGGAAGTTGTAACTTTCGGCATGTATATCGGGATTCAGACAATAACTCTGAAAGATATTACAATGACCTTTATTGAAGACACACGAGATAACCAATATACACTCATGGACAAAACTTAAGGAAGTTGTACCTTTTAGCATGTATATTGGGATTCAGACAATAACTCTGAAAGATATTATAGTGACCTTTATTGAAGACGCACGAGATAACCAAGTGTAAACAAAGTTTTGCTTCTATCTTCTTCTTCAATAAATAAATAAATAAATAGACGACTTGCGAAATCAAAGCCTTTCTACTTCCTTAACACCAACAGATAGATGCAATTTTGTTCACACTTGGTTATCTCGTATGTCTTCAATAAAGGTCACTGTAATATCTTTCAGAGTTATTGTCTGAATCCCGATATACATGCTGAAAGGTACAACTTCCTTAAGTTTTGTCCATGAGTGTATATTGGTTATCTCGTGTGTCTTCAATAAAGGTCACTGTAATATATTTCAGAGTTATTGTCTGAATCCCGATATACATGCTGAAAGGTACAACTTCCTTAAGTTTTGTCCATGAGTGTATATTGGTTATCTCGTATGTCTTCAATAAAGGTCACTGTAATATCTTTCAGAGTTATTGTCTGAATCCCGATATACATGCTAAAAGGTACAACTTCCTTAAGTTTTGTCCATGAGTGTATATTGGTTATCTCGTGTGTCTTCAATAAAGGTCACTGTAATATCTTTCAGAGTTATTGTCTGAAACCCGATATACATGCTGAAAGGTAAAACTTCCTTAAGTTTTGTTCATGAGTGTATCTTTCAGAGTTATTGTATCAATCCCGATATACGAGGTGTGTTCAAAAAGTATCGCGACTTTTGAATTTTCGCGGGTTACGTATATTCGAATTTCGATCTTTTTGTGGCTTTATGTTGGTACTCATGTCTCTCACTTATGCCGACAAGCTCGGCCATTTTGAATGTTCACTTAATTGTTGACAGCTGCTTTGCTTGCAGGTGTTTTGGATCGTCTTCGATTTTTACCTATTAAAAAAAAATGGATCAAAGAACCTGTATCAAATTTTGTGTGAAAAACGAAATTAAGTGCGCCGATGCATTCCGAATGTTGACTGTGGCAACATTTATCGGTGGTACAAAATGTTCTCAGAAGGCCGAGAAGATGTGAACGACGAAGAGCGTGCCGGACGCCCGAGCACTTCAACAACAGACGAAAAAATTAATGAAGTGGAGAAAATGATATTGGCCAATCGTCGAATCACCATTAGAGAAGTTGCTGAGGACCTAAACATATCGATTGGCTCGTGCCATTCGATTTTTATCAATGACTAGCGGATGTACCCGGCTTCGCCCGGGTTTTACCCGAGTAAAGGTTTGTCTAACGAACATTTGTTAAAACAATTCTCTATAAACTTATAAAAAAAAATAATAGATATATTTTGATAATTTAAACTCGTAAATTTGAATCTCTCGATAAAGTGAACATTTTTTCCCGGTCCCTTTAAAAATACTCGATAAGTTGAATAAAATCAATATTAATTGGTTCCCTCGGTAATTGGAAGAATTGGAATAGTATCTTGCCTTGGAATTGTATCATTATTCTTGTCTCAAATAAATTGCCGTGTCATCCTGAATTTTGTCTTTCCTAATTTTCTACATTACAAAATCATCATTTTATCTATTCTCCCAATATGTATGTTGTAGATAAATGATAAAACTAACTTTGACTTGTGCGCAATTAATAGGTAGAAATCTTACTTTTGATAAATAATCATCATCATTTATTTAAATCTACAAATCTGCAAATAACTCTAAGGATATTCAAGATATTCACGAAATTATTTTTCAAAAACCTTCCCGGGGATATACCTAATAAAATCCCAAAATTTCACGGCGATTGGATGTATGGTTTTTGAATCTATAGAGTACAGACAGACAGACATTCAATTATATATATATATATAGATTTGGGCATGAGACGGGTCGCCGCGAAATTCGTACCAAAATTGCTCAATTGCGACCAAAAACAGCATCGCATGAACATTGCTAATGAGATGTTGGATTCTGTCCGCGACGAACCAAATTTGCTCCAGAGAGTCATAACTGGCGACGAAGCTTGGGTTTATGGTTATGACGTGGAAACTAAAGCTCAATCATATCAATGGAAGCTGCCGCACGAACCAAGACCGAAAAAAGCGCGCCAAGTTCGGTCGAATGTGAAAGTTTTGCTGACAGTTTTCTTCGATTGCAAGGGCGTGGTGCATCATGAGTTCTTGCCACAGGGTAGAACGGTCAATAAGGAATATTACTTGCAAGTTATGCGCAATTTGCGCGAAGCAATCCGCCAGAAACGCCCGGATTTGTGGAAGAATAAAAATTGGCTTTTGCACCACGATAACGCCCCTGTTCACACATCGTTGCTTGTGCGCGACTTTTTGGCCAAAAACAACACACTAATGATGCCGCAGCCACCGTATTCCCCAGAACTGGCCCCCTTTGACTTTTTCTTGTTCCCTAAACTGAAGAAGCCCATGAAAGGACGACGTTACGCTACGCTTGACGAGATAAAGACGGCATCGAAGGAGGAGCTGAAAAAGATTTTTAAAAATGATTTTTTGAAGTGCTTCGAAGATTGGAAAAACCGTTGGCACAAGTGTATAATATCTCATGTGGATTACTTTGAAGGGGACAAAATAGGTTTTCATGAATAAATAAATAATTTTTTGAAAAAAAAAAACACAAAATTCGCGATACTTTTTGAATACACCTCGTACATGCTGAAAGGTACAACTTCCTTGAATTTTGTTCATGAATATATATTACAAATATCACAAGTATATAATATTAACAATGTTTGAAACAAAAGCAGCTTAAATCTTAAGTTTTCAGCTTTTATCAACAATTTCTTTAAAAATGGTCAAAAAAATATTTCCAATATAATTTACCATAATTTATGTTTGTAATATCGTAAGACAATTGCGTCATAAAAATCAGACACCATCATATTTTATTCAATGAACACCAACAAAAACTTAGCAATAAATACAAAACCCCAAGAGAACATATTAAACAAAAGAATCAATTTTAAAAAAGGTCATATTTAGAAGGTAAACGGTCTCCTATATTAATTAGCAAATCATTTTCCGGAATAAATGGAGACAGTTAATTGGGAATGTAATCCTGTACATAAATTGGATAATTACAATAAAAATTGTAATTTAAGAGAAGCCATGTTAATGAATTAATTAACAATCAGGAAAGGCAACCGTCAGTTAATTGCCTACATTCTAATTACGAACAGAAGTTTCACTCCAGGAGCAATTTTCACGTCCGCCAATAATCATAAATTTAATTGCAAAGAAAATTTCCAGGCCACGTGGAAAAACTTGGTGCTGTGGACGGCTCTTCAATAATTTTAAAGAAAGAAAACGATTAAAGGGAATGTTTGGAGCCATTCTGGTAGAATTACTGGAGATTGCTCTCTTTCTTGAGTTCTTGATCTTTTTCTTTTTTTACGAGATCCTTTCCCCCTCACCCCCTCGGGCAAACTTCTCTCTCTCTCCCCCCTACCCCCACGGGAGCTGATTAGAAGAAGAATTCAGTAACATGAGCTATGAAAGAAAAAGAATACCACAGTTTGCGGTTAATTGTCCCAATAAAACCAATTATGGTGAATTTTTTTTTTTTTTTGCTTCATATAAAATCAATTTTTAAAAGCAATATGATT